AAAACTGCTGCATACAGATTATTTTTGTTTTTGCAACCTCATGTTAAGAATCTTGTTGCAATTATTTAAAAGTTTGAATGACCGTAATAAACGGACCTTTGTCTTATTGAAACATTTATTTTGGACCTTTAAGATTTGTATTTGAGTACCCCTGACCTAATCTATATTAACATGTCTAATAGATCAGAAACTTGTGCATATAATTATTTTCTTGAGTCAAAACATTATTAGGATCTGTAAAGCTCTGCTATGTATTTCATAACTCATTATATTAATTTATCTTCAATTCTGGTGCACTTAAAGAACAATGTTACCCTCTATAACAGTGCGTGGAACCCTGGGTGTCCGAACATGCAACAATTACTCCCTACTTTATCAAGGATTTAAAAACAGAAGTCATTTCGTATGTCCATCCGAAAGCCCTCCTATGGTAATAACTATGTCACCATGGTGAAACCAGTACCTCAAATTGAAATACTATACTTTGTTTAGAACTAGTTTTCCCTTCAACATGACCTATATAAATAAATATTTGTCTGATCTTATAGAGATGTTACTAAAACTCTCCCTTTGAACTGATCAATACTGTAACAAATTAAAACACTACCAAATGCACACATGAATAAAAACTCTAAAAGAATAATTTGTAAATATGATGAAAAGATTGAAGAATATGGTTCTACACTGTACTCCTAACTCCCAAACACCCACTACTTAAAGTCTAGTGCATACTTCCATCATGCCCCCCCCCCCCTTTTCCATCAGTGTGTTTTAGGATGATTTTTCACTTCACAATAGTTTTCCTCTTTACCGCTATTTTTAATTTACCAATTGATTAATTCATGGTTAATACATCTTCTTATCTTCACTTATTTATCAAGTCAATTCAAGTTCTTTAAATGTGGTTCTTTAAAATACATTAGTAGATACCTTGTGGAGTATTCACAATAACTAACCCTCTCTATGAAATCCGTTCATCTTTAAGCAGATACTATTTTTACATTACATTACATTACATTACATTGCATTTAGCTGACGCTTTTGTCCAAAGCGACTTACAATAAGTACATTCGACCAGGAAGACACAACCTTGAAGAAAACAGAATCATATAAGTATATCAGGTTTCATAGAGCCAAACATTTCAAGTGCTACTCAACTGGCTTTAGGTAATCCAGTCCTTTATTGGTATAAAAGTGCTTCGTTAATCGTTCTAACGCTCGAAGTGGAGTCGAAAGAGATGAGTTTTCAGTTTGCGCCGGAAGATGTGCAAGCTATCTGCCGTCCTGATGTCAATGGGGAGCTCATTCCACCATCTTGGAGCCAGGATAGCAAACCCACGTGTTTTCGCCGATGGGAACTTGGGTCCCCCTCGCAGCGAGGGCGCAACGAGTCGTTTGGCTGATGCAGAGCGTAGTGCACGCGCTGGGGTGTACGGTTTAACCATGTCCTGGATGTAGGAAGGGCCAGATCCATTCGCAGCACGGTAAGCAAGTACCAGTGTCTTGAAGTGGATTCTAGCAGTTACCGGAAGCCAGTGAAGGGAGCGGAGGAGCGGAGTGGTGTGGGAGAATTTAGGAAGGTTGAAAACCAGACGAGCCGCTGCATTCTGGATGAGCTGCAGAGGTCGGATGGCACATGCAGGTAGACCAGCCAGGAGGGAGTTGCAGTAGTCTAGGCGTGAGATGACGAGAGCCTGGACCAGAACCTGAGTCGCTTTCTGAGTCAGCTGGGGACATATCTTCCTGATGTTGTAAAGCGTGTATCTGCAGCAGCGGGTTGTAGCAGCGATGTTTGCAGTGAAGGACAGGTTGTTATCTAGGGTCACACCCAGATTCCTTGCAGTCTGAGTCGGGGAAACAACTGAGGTGCCGATGTTGATTGTCAGGTCAAGAGTTGGACAATCTTTTCCCGGGAGGAAGAGCAGCTCAGTCTTGTCAAGGTTGAGTTTGAGGTGGTGAGCAGACATCCACTGAGAGATGTCAGCTAGACAAGCAGAGATGCGTGCGACGACCTGGGTCTCTGAGCGGGGAAAGGACAGAATTAATTGGGTGTCGTCAGCGTAGCAGTGGTAAGAAAAACCATGCGGGCTAATGACTGATCCGAGCGAGTTTGTGTACAAGGAGAAGAGGAGGGGACCAAGAACAGAGCCCTGAGGGACCCCCGTAGTTAATTGACAAGGGTCGGACTCAGACCCTCTCCAAGTCACCCTGTAGGTACGGTCTTTCAGGTATGAGGTGAGGAGGGAAAGTGCAGAGCCTGAAACTCCAAGTTTTTGGAGAGTGCAAAGGAGGATCTGATGATTCACCGTGTCGAATGCAGCAGACAGGTCCAACAGGATGATGACAGAGGAGAGGGATGCAGTTTTGGCAGTGTGCAGTTCCTCCGTGACAGCAATGAGAGCAGTTTCTGTGGAGTGACCTGCCTTGAAACCAGACTGGTGCGGATCCAGAAGGTTGTTCTGATTGAGATAACAGGAGAGTTGTTTAAAGACAGCGCGTTCAAGTGATTTAGACAGGAACGGGAGGAGAGAGACAGGCCTGTAGTATATAACATCAGACGGGTTGAGAGTGGGTTTCTTTAGGAGAGGGTTTACTCTTGCCTCCTTGAGACTGTTTGGAAAGTGACCAGAAGTTAGAGAAGTGTTGATGAAATGGGTGAGAAACGGTAGAATATCAGGAGCGATAGTCTGAAGGAGGTTTGAAGGGATAGGGTCCAGAGGACAGGTGGTAGGGCGGGCAGAGGTAATGAGGGTAAGAACCTCACTTGGAGAGAGAGGGGAAAAGGAGGTTAGTGTGTGGGTGAAAGGAGGGTCTGGTGACCCAGCGGTGAGTAAAGGTGAGTCAGAAAAAGAAGAGCGAATATCATTAACCTTTTTTTCAAAGTGGGTAACAAAGTCGCTTGACAGAAGTGAGGAGGGGGGAGGAGCTTTTGGAGGGTCCAAGAGGGTGGAGAAGATGGAAAATAGTTTTTTAGGATTGGAATAGGAAGATTGGATCTTATCTTGAAAGAAAGTGCTTTTTGCCTGAGAGATCGAAGCAGAGAAAGAGGAGAGGAGAGCTTGATAGGTTAGGAGGTCGTCACGGTGTTTGGATTTCCACCATTTCCGCTCTGCTGCCCTAAGGACGGTTCTATTAGCACGCAGTGCATCATTTAGCCAGGGAGCCGGAGGGGACTGACGAGCCTGCCGAGATGTCAGAGGACAGAGCGAGTCCAGAGTGGATGAGAGAGTAGAGAGGAGAGTTTCTGCAGCAGAGTTTGGAGGCAGTAGTTGGAACGAATCAGAGGAAGGGAGGGCTGAGAGCACCGACGAGGCAAAGGTAGAGGGAGAGAGGGAGCGAAGGTTACGGCGGACAAGTGTAGGATGGGAAGAGATTAGTTTGTTATGTTTGGAAAGGGATAGAGAGAATGAAATGAAGAAGTGATCGGATGTGTGGAGCGGGTTTACAGAGAGGTTAGAAGTAGCGCAGTTCCTTGAGAATATGAGATCAAGGACATTGCCAGCTTTATGAGTCGGTGGGGACGGAGACAGTGAGAAAGCAAAGGCGGTTAACAGAGATATTAGTTCGTCTATCTTCCCCGTCTGGAGGTTGAAGTCTCCGAGAAGTACAGCGGGAGGGCCAGTTTCAGGGATGTGTGAGAGGAGATGATCTAATTCCTCCAAGAAGTCCCCCAAGGCGCCTGGTGGACGGTAGAGAACAACAATGGTTAACTGTATAGGATGGGTTACTGTGACGGCATGGAACTCAAGGTGGAAGGAGTAAAGTTAGGTAGCTTGAAGAGGGAAAAGCTCCATTTGGGAGAGAGCAGGAGACCAGTGCCACCTCCTCTGCCAGTGGGTCTGGGTGTATGGGAGAAGGAATATGCAGTGGAGAGAGCTGCTGGGGTGGATGTGTTGGATGGAGTAATCCAGGTCTCAGTGAGAGCAAGGAAATCCAGAGACTGCAGGGAGGTGTAGCCAGAGATGAAGTCAGCCTTAGGAACAGCTGACTGGCAGTTCCACAGGCCACCTGAAACTAGATGTTGGATCTCAGTGGAGCACGTGGGATAGACGAGAGCAGGCCGGTTATATCGATTAGGAGATACACGGGGCCAGTGATAATTGCGAGAAGACACATGAACAGGAATGGAGAAAATACACATGATTATAGCATGAGGGGCTAAACAACAAAAGTAAAAATTAAAAACGCCAACGATACTTAGCTCAATCAAAGTAGGATTTGCCTCCTCTTTGCCTCCCTCGTGACTCCCGTAGGACTCTAATGTCTTTGTCAGTCTTACTCCCGTAGGACTCTAATGTCTTTGTCAGTCTTAGCCTGTCTGCCGCTGAAGCTGCCGCTCCAGGAAAGAGCTACCCGAAATGGACGCCTGATTGCTCAGTTCTCACAGCTGAAGTTAATTAGTTAACTATCTACAGCTGATGGGCGACAATAGACTGGCCCTGCCTATGTTAATAATGCAGGCTTGAGTGCTGAGAGCTGTAAAGCAGGTTTCGCCTGAGCAGATCTGAGATTTAAAATCTCTCAAAAGCGATTTAGCCGTTTTAGCTACAGTAACAATTATACAGAGTCGAATAAATGAAACCGAGAAGTCTAATTAAACAAGAATATAACTTACAGTGGTTGCTGCGTCAATAGGTAATGTTGTCACCGGGTCCAGATGCACACTGAGTTCATCAGTTTCTAAATGCGGTATTTAAATGCTTTTTGAGCTAAGGATGACTGAGTCACGCGGTTCTACTTCACGCAATCAATAGACTGGCCCTGCCTATGTTAATAATGCAGGCTTGAGTGCTGAGAGCTGTAAAGCAGGTTTCGCCTGAGCAGATCTGAGATTTAAAATCTCTCAAAAGCGATTTAGCCGTTTTAGCTACAGTAACAATTATACAGAGTCGAATAAATGAAACCGAGAAGTCTAATTAAACAAGAATATAACTTACAGTGGTTGCTGCGTCAATAGGTAATGTTGTCACCGGGTCCAGATGCACACTGGACTACTATTTCCTTATTTATCTTTTGTTCATGATAACAATGGTATAACAACCACACGTTTTACCCATAGCTAGTTTCTATAACAAGATTATTATGTGTGACATAATAATCAGATGTCTTGTTTGCTAACCAAGAATATTAAACTTTAATCTTTTCAGTATTCCAGACCATCATTTAAACCAGCAGCCTCTTATCTAAACATTAAGCATTAAGGTTTCTACACCCCCCCCCCGGGAAACTCTTGCACAATTATGCTGTAAAATCATTGCATCATTCCTTCAGAGTCTGAACCATCTGAGGCAAGCATGTCTCAAGACCTTGTCATAATGAGCACAGTCAGTGATGCAGCTGTAGTCAGGGGCAGGGTCCCCAAAAAAGCTAGGACCGGCCCTGGTCAGTGGGCTCCAAGGAAACTCTCCCTGGCATTGGGATGAGGGAAGGAATCACTTGGCAGACACACGTTGTCCTCTGTACAGCAGAAATCCCCCCAAAACCGCAGTACCTCTTCACACCACTGTTGCCTTGACAACGAGGCACAAGCAACATGTCAATATCTCCTCAGAGATGCGTTCTTTGCACACTTCTTCTGTTTGCAGTGAGCAACTCCTCACCAACACACTGATTCAGAGAACCCAAAAGGTGGTGCAGAACTATCCAATGCTGCTGTAATCACATTCAGCTACTGAGAAAAACTCAATTTAAATCTCTCTCCCAACGGGTTACAAAATAAAACGGCTGAGGTCAGGAATGCTGAAACATGTGAATGTTAAAACAAACTAATGGTAGTAGTCTGCCTATTCTTTATTACTTCAGTTCTTAGTTAATAGGCAAAACAAGGACACCCTCCTTAACCACTAAAGGCTACTAATCTTTTATCTACTTGGTTAATGCTATTCATTTTCAAATTGTGTATCTAAGTGGTGTTACAAGCATGGTGAGGTTGTAACAGAATACACAAATAACTGTATTCAATCCGCGCCGTATTTGAAAACTGTAATGAATTAAAATCAATGTTTAAGGACGTAATATAAGTTAAATATATTGTTAAGCTAATTACCGTTTTATTGTGAAGGCATCTCTGGTGAACAGCGGTCTGTGGCTTTTATTTTGAAAGGCCGCTCCGGAAATATACTCCGTAATGTGAACAGTGAGTTTGACTTCCAGAAACACGGAAAGTTACTATAGCAATCGTTCTAATGCATGAACTAAAGTCATGAAAGAGACAAGGAGGGGAAAAGGCGTGTGGAAGCAAGCAATGAACTGAAAATGCCACCAATCCTCTGTTTTAACGTGATGGCGGACATTGAAAACCGAAGCGGGCATAAGCACCCCTGTCTTACACATTAATAGATTCCTTCTGACTGACAAGCGTTCAAAAACCCTTCTGCTTATCACTTAGGCTACTTCTTTTTGTTTTATTCATAACATAAAAATACAATTGTGATGAATAGCTTGCTCTTTTTCTTTTACTTTTCTTCCATAATTGACTTCGTATCTATTATCTGACTAAATTACTTGTATTTATTAATACACTGGACAAATCTTGTCGTCCTATATTCTATTCTGAATTCAGAGTTCCAATCCCAGAATATTGTTACACCCTGTTCGCCACCAGAGGGAGCAGCTGACCACAAATGAGCTTCCTCTGTCTTGATGAAGCTCTCAGCTCTGCAATTGTCTTGTGTATCTCCTGCTATGCTCTATTTTCTCAATTATTACACAGATTCGACGTAAAAAGTTCACACAGAGTTTATTCCCTTATACATTCTGTCCGGCTTTTTTTTTGTGCGATGTATATTTCAACAGATAATTCTGGTCTTTGCCGGTGCTTCGACACCCCTATATAGAGATGCGACCGACACAAGGAGATTAACCCAAACCAAAACAAATCCTTTATCGTCACGTTTAGCCGTTCAGATCACCCCCACAGCAAGAGTTTGCGAGATCCGGTCGTTTCAAATTGATTTTGAAAGTTGCGTATCTCCTCTTGAAAACCCACATATAATATTCAGTCTATAGTCTACATAATGTTCCCAGCGAGTCAGCCGTGCCGGACTAAACTACCTCACGCTCTCGCTGGTTCACTTTTTTTTTCTTTTTCTTCTTCTTTTTAGTGAATTAAGGAACGGGACTTATAGCTATTTACCCGAGTCTTACAAACACTCAGTGTCTTAGCTGCAGAACTCTATACCTGACTAAGCACTTTAACTCGGTGCCTTAGGTCCGGACTGTTCTACCTGACTCTAAGCCCCTTCTTACTTTAGTGAGTTAAAGGTACTGGACTGTAATACCAGACTCTTCACCAACACTTAGTGCCTTAGGTACAGGACTCATCTACCTGACTCTACAAACACTGTGTTCAGTATTGTATTTTTTACCATGACTAAGGACACTGAGAACGCCGCTGACAACTCTAAATGTTTTGTAGTATAGCCAATCACAGACTTTGACAATCAACAGGTGTCTGCTCACCTTTGTATCTGGACGTCCTGATTTAGTTGTCAATGGTGTGCAGGTGTCCTCCCCTGGACTGAAATTCGTCCGCTGGCTGTCGGTGGTACTCCTAGAGACCAGCACTCATCACGTCGGGGTCACCAGATTGTAGGAGCAGACACAATAGTGGTGGCTCAAAGCCCACCTCTGCTCCGCGCCGTCCGTTAGATGAGCCTGGTCAGATTGATAAAAGAGGGAGTTCAACACACCGGCATAAAAGTTATAACAATAATCTGATTTTAATGGTAAAAAACACCAATACAAGTTTACAGAGTACTCCGGACTCCCAGTTCTACTGCTGTGCGATGCAGGTATCGGGACCAGCCAGTCAGAAACAGGGGGCCTTTTGCATGAAGAAACAACAGTATATATGGATATATTTGGAGGTGGAGATGTGTCGGCTCTTCCGTCCCATTTGACTCCTAAGCAAATTAGAGTTCTGGGAAAAAGTATCTTTCTTCTGAACAGAGCGTGACAGCATCGGAACTATACAAGGTCAGAATCACTTTGTATCTTATACCTGGGTTAACTCCTTTACTTTCCCAGGGAAGATTTCACACAAACTATTCTTTTAAAACAATCAAACATTGTACACAGAAATATTGGTGCTTCGGATTATTCCCAGCAAGGACCAAAGAAAAAGAACATGTGTGTGTGTTAGTGAGGGAAAGTGTATGTGTGTGTGAGTGTGCTGATAAGCAGAGGCATATGTGTGTGTGTTGCTGATATCTGGGTTGAGGAGTTTATGTGTGTGTGTGCTGCATGAAGACAGGAGGGGGTGTATGTGTGTGTGTCAGGGTCTCTGGGTCATGGAGTGTAAGTAAGAAGGTTTATATATATAGGATTACTTTAAACAGTCCCAAATAATACATGTTCACTTCAATACAGTTCAAGATAATACCTGTTTACTTTAATACAGTTTAGAACAATATCTGGGTGCTTTACTGTCCACAGAGAAACCTGGTTGCAACAGCAGCCAGTGAGGGGAACCGTGAAGCATTATCTTTCCAGTAGTGTAGAGGATTGCTTTTCCTAGGGCTGGTTTGCTCTGAGAGATAGGTCTGTACCTGGACATCAGCTGATGTACTCACGGACCGGGCCTCGAGCTGATTCTCTTCCAAGATCTCGTCCAAGACGCTGCCCAGGCTGCTGCTTGCTTCTTGGCGTGGTGTGTTGCGCATAGGCTCTGCTGCCTCTGGCTCTTCACTGGCAGCCCTCTCTATCTTCGCCACCTCCAGGATGAGGTTATCCGTGGCAAGCCTCAGATTGTCTGACTTTGTGAAGAATCTGAAAATAGATAAATGTAACAATTACCCACAACAAAGAAAAACATAAGACAAGACACCACAACAGTGAAGTCAGGCAACTGCCTTACTTCTATACAAATCTAACAGACCTACATTTAAAAGGAAAGACAAATAGAAATTGGCTTGAATAATGAATACTGGTGGTTGGTTTGATATACATAATTCATAACGTAATAGATACGATTATAATAGCATTCAAATGGTACATTAATTGACTGTACTTGCCTGTCTTTGTATCTTGGATCCACTAGAGTGGCAATGCTGTACAGTGGCTCCTCCTCTACCTCAGCAAAGCGGGTCTCCACTGCCTCTAGGAGCGTGCTCTTCATCGTTCTGACCCCCTGGTCAGTGGTCTTCTCCCGAGAGAGTACACGTTTGAGGGCTGTTTGAATGAATTAAATGAATGGATGAATGGTTTATGTAGAATATAAAATAATTATAGTAAAATAAAAACATTTCTATTCTTTTATTTAAAAATATAGAATATTATTATTATAATAACTACCTGTTATTGCAGGGATGACATCAGCTGCAGATGCATTGGGATTGCTCACATCCCTCATGAGTTCCTCAAATGGAGCTAACACCTCAGCTGTCTTCTCCATCAGGGTCCACTGGTTGGCTGTCAGTGTGGCTGGCAGGCTGTAGATGCTCTGCAGCATGTAGAGGCTGCTGTCACATCTCACTTGCACGTCCTGCTGTAGACGCTTGACGTCCATCTTCAGATCCTTCTGGATATCTTTCAGCCGGGAATAGGCCAACGGGGAATGTTTGAAATGTCCAATAATTTTCCTCGCGGTGGCCAGTGCGTCTATGACGCTGCGCTGAGACAGCAGACCCTCATGCACAGCAAGTTGGAGCGTGTGTGCGACACAGCCCACACTCGTTACTTCCAAATCATCCATGGCTTTCACCATATTTTGCGCGTTGTCCCGCAAAATGACATGGACCCGTGGCTTATCTATTCCCCAACTGTTAAGCATCCCCTCGATCGCCTCTCTCACACGATCTGCTGTGTGAGATCCGCGAAAGTTCTGAGCTTGCAAGGTCGCATGTTGCAAATTAAACTGGGAGTCGATCCACTGTGCAGTGAAGCTAAGGAGTGACATTGGACACACAGAAGAACTCCATATGTCTGTGGTAAATCCGAAAGCAGGCACGTCTGTTAACAGGGCTTGCAGGTGACCACGAAGCTTGTTGTGAAGGGCAGGCAGAGCTTCCTATGGAGTCAGATTTGGGTCAATATTCTAGCGCGTAAAACAAGCTACTCACGAGCGGAAAATGTGCTTTTACACGCGCATAAAAGAGACAGCCCTCTTGCTCGCTCGCGGGAGTATCAGGCTCGCGGAGTCTGTCTACGCGCGCGTGAAAAGTTTCTGGCACTTTGGGGCGGAGCCACTGGACTTTGATTGACAGCTGCCAGGAAACCCGGAGTTGCCAGGTTTGATAAATGCCTGAACTGCCAAGAGCCGAGGAGTGACGGCAGCAAAATCAGTTGGACGAGATTGAATGGTAAAGTTGTCCATACAAAACTATTATATTCGTAAAGTGTACAGCTAATATATATATATATATATATATATATTAGGGCTCTCAAACGATTACAATTTTTAATCAGATTAATCACAGCTTAAAAATTAATTAATCATGATTAATCACCATTCGAACTATGTCCAAAATATGCCATTTCTTATGTATATTGTTGTGGGAATGGAAAGATAAATGAAAGAAGGCGGATATATCCATTTAACATACAGTATCTATGTTTATTATAACATTTTTCTGCGTGTCAAAATGAAAGACAACCCACACACCTATCAATCATCAAACCGTGGGGTCTGAATTCATTACGTGTTGATTTCTATCAACGGGGGAGTACTTCAGGAAAGTCGACAGAGGGGGGGGGGGGGGCGGCGGCGGCTAGTGGAGTACTTCGTGACCACAGAGTGTGAACGTTGTGAAGTGAAGGGGGGGGGAGAGAGTCTCCCTCCGCAGCCGATTGGCGTAGTTTTGGCACAATTCCGTTGTACAGACCGACGTTAACAGCAGCCCTGTCTGTGCACACGGAGACCGACTCTGTCGTCCGGTGATCTAACCGCCTTCTGGAAAAGCTTCACAAGTACGTTGGTACGCAAATGCGCTTTGTGACACAAGTGACGGTACGCATTTCAGATTACGCACATAACCTGCGTACCAGTTATGTGCACCCCTGTACTACAGCAAAAGTATTCTCCGTCGGGACTTCCTGCAACAACACCACGCCGTTATCAAAGATGTTCTATTGAGAAGACGATCACTACGTGACAAAAGTTTTCAAAACCGTGGCTACTGAAATCAATCTTACTAACTGCTGTCTGTGCAATTTACTCCGCGCGAGTTGGCAGACTTTATTTTGCTTCCTTTAACATCATTTTTCATGGTGGGGCTAAGCCATTTCTTGGTATGGGTGTAGCCTACCCCAGCCATACCCTGGCGCTGCCACTGGTGGCACGTATGGGGCGGGCCATTCTGCACATGCGTTAAATGCGTTAAATATTTTAACGCAATTAATTCAAAAAATTAACTACCGCCGTTAACGCGATAATTTTGACAGCACTAATATATATATATATATATATATTAATTAATTTGATATAAAACAATATATTTTTGAGTGGGCTGTATCTGTCGAAAATTGCATATATATATAAATATAAATATAATTGGTTGTAAAAATTGTTTTTTTATTTGCTTGATACAAATGGACATTCTTTATAACCAATTGCTTTATTATCACGCATTTGTAATATTTGTATGCTAGAACTGTTGTATTATTTTTGAAAAATAAAAAATAAATAGCTCACTTGACATTCATTTTTATCCTTAATTATCTGTCCAACACTGAAAAGGTGGTCCTTGTGAAGAATCTCATCACTATATTCCCTCAGCTGAAAGTCATTTACAACAATAGTTTGCTGAAGATTAAGTTTGTTTTAACCAAGGTATAAGGTTTTTTAGGTGTGATTTTATGAATTATCTATTCTGTCAACATTTGATGAATTAGAAAAATATTAATATTTTTAAATGTTAACAATTATTTTCTTAATGACATATTGTGCTAATGAAATCCTTGTAAATAAATGTCCAATGAATGTATTCTTGCATTCGATTTTTTTAATAAAAACCATATCCACCACCTGGTACTTCCAGTAATCGTCATTGACACACAATGTGCAGATATAACACAATCAAATGTTAATTCTGGTTAAAGTATAACACAAAATGTGCAGAAATAACAAATGAGTGTGTTCATCTTGGTTACACATTTATGACACACAATGTGTAAAATGTGCACATTGTGTGTTAGGGGCATGAAACACATTTTGTGTGTAAAAATGATTTACACATAAATAAACACAACACGTGTTGTCCCTGAGCACACTCTGTAGGTGTGTTGAAATTCAACACGTGTGTCATTTTTGACACATCCCTTCTAAAAGAGTGTACAGCAGACAGTAGCTAGCAATTTTCGACAGATACAGCCCACTCAAAAATATATTGTTTTATATAAAATTAATTTATATATATATATGCAATTTTCGACTGATACAGCCCACTCAAAAATATATTGTTTTATATCAAATTAATTTATATATATATATATATATTAGCTGTAGAGCCTCTCGCGAGAGAGCGCAGAGCCGCTCGCGGGCGCAGAGCCACTCACGGGGGTTTAATCTGCGCGCAAGGGTCATTTTTTGTGCGTGTAAAAGCACATTTTCCGCTCGTGAGTAGCTTGTTTTACGCGCTAGAATATTGACCCAAATCTGACTCCATACTTTCTCTGTAAAGTAGTGACGAGAAGGCAACTCATAACGTGGCTCCAAGTGCTCCATGAGACGGCGAAACTCCACGTTCTCATTCATAACACTCCGTTCGATGTCTCACTATGGGATGCGCCTCAACGCGCATGCAAACAGAAGCATCAATCTCATTACGCCAATCCTGATTGGCTGGTGATCTTGACGTCAACGTCAGGGAATCCACCCACCCTTTAAGTAGCTTGCGCTACGACGCAGCGTCATTCAAACACCTCTTCTCGCTTCAGAGCACATCTCGACTTATCAGTAACCGGGCTAGCTTAACGGTCCACAGACTGAACCCAAAGCTATCATTCGGTCGACGGGCGCTTGCCGGTTACTTTTTTGCTTTGCAAGAAGACTGAGCAATATTAACACACCAGTTAATATTGTAATCTGCCTCGCCGTTCTTTCTGTCGAAATAACGGTAAGGTTTGATTTTTTCTTCAAGCTAGTAACATACCTGTCGCTAGTTTGTTCTTCCCTCCACACCAACACCACGGCAAAGAGGACGTTCTCTTTTCTCTCTCACACCAGAGGACACAGAGATAAAAAAAAAGGTATTAACACACCAGTTAATATTCTTTAAAGAATAAAATCTACACCGTCGCCTTTTTTCCTTTCGGACTAACGGCAAGGTTGGATTTTTTTCTCAGTAACGTACCTGTTACTAGCGTGTCCACTCCACGCCGACACCCCGGCGATCGAAGATGGACCCTTCTCTCCCTCACACCAGAGGAGTCAGCATCTCGTGCGGGCATTGTACCCGCTTCACCATTAAGAGCCTCCGCCGACGGTTAGCGCGCCAAGCTAGCTTGTCGGGACAGGACCCCCTCATGTCCGCTGATTTGCCGGCCAGCAATCAAGACATGGTGGCGTCCGCCGCAGAGATTGAGCCCCGTGCTGTGTCAGACTGGGGCTCAACAACAGCGACAGCCGCTGAACCGGAGCCCCACGCCGTTTCAGGCTGGGACACGGTGGCGGCAAGAGCCGCGAGAGCGGAGCCCCGCGCTGTGTCAAGCTGGGGCTCCCAATTGGACCTCACCATGGTTCCACCCGCGGAGGATGTCCTGGAGTTGGACTATATGGAGGACGAAGAGGATACCTCTGAGTTCCTCCTGTCTGACTCAGATGAGGATGACATCTTCGTTTCATCGGCTCAGGTTGCAAAGCCGGGAGCGATGTCCGCTCCCCCAGGCGAGAGCACGCAAGCTTCGCCCATCCTAAGCATGGACTTGCTGCGTCCAGGCTGGACATCCCATGGCCTGAAGTGGCCAAGGAGACCTCCAGATCTCGCTACGAGGGGAAGAACTTGCCCCAAGCAGCGAGGACGAAGAGGCAGCTCCTTCCAGTCTTCCCGGATATGCTGGACGAGGTGTCGGTCTCGTGGAGAGACCGTCCCTTTAGCAGCAAGGCCCCAATCCAGGGTGCCTCCTCCCTGGACTGTGACGGTATGGAGAGGCTCGGCCTGCTCCGCATGCCGCCCATGGAACCGCTGGTGGCAGCCCACCTCCAACCGAGGCTGGCTTCGACACCGAGCAGGAACCCCATGCTACAGGCAAAGGCAGACCGGTTCCAGTCAGCGATGACCGAACGGGCCTATAAAGCCACAGCTTTGTCCGCCAGGGCACTCAACGTATTCTCGCTGCTGACCGCCTACCAGGCGGAGCTCTGCGAAGACATGTCGAGCAAACCTGAGCCTGCCGTGTGGGACGAGATCGCAGCGATCACGGACATTTGCCTCCGTGTGCAGCGCTGTGCAGTCCAAGCCACGGGCAAGCAGTGGCGCCTCCAGAAATGTTTCATAGGGGTGGCCAAATGGGGCCACTGAAAATCTTGGGGTGGCCCACCAAAACCAAGCATTTAATTGTTGTAAAAGTATAGACTAGATGAAAACAATGGCAAAGAGAATCACCTACTGATATACTTTGTTTTCTTATTTTACATTTTCTGATACTATTCATCTGAAGTGAATATAATACGGATATTAACATTTTACTTCAAACAACATTTAAAAGAACCTTGTTTTGTGTTATGTATACATGTGTTGGTGATTTATTGTTTCGTTTTTTATATAGTTCTTTCCTTTTAAAAAGACAAATACAGCTTAATTTAAATAAGTTCCTTTATTGTAAGGCACAAAATGTTCAGCATTCTCAACACATACAATACACAACAGCAACACAACATGTTCTTCAGTTATATTATGTCTCTAGGTTATAACTTGTTTTAGACTGAACAAAGATGTTTGTGTCACACTGGGATCAAAGATGATTGACATGACTTTATTGAATCAAGTTTTAAAACATGACTATTTTATTTCAACAGGACCCAAAAACACAAGGGGTATAACATGGTAAATACATACTGTGATTGAACACAAAAACACCATCTATTATTGACCTTATAGCAAATTCAAAACATTATAAATGA